ACAGTCTCATTATGACCAATGTTACAGTCACAGTATGACCAATGTTACAGTCTCAGTATGACCAATGTTACAGTCACAGTATGACCAATGTTACAGTCACAGTATGACCAATGTTACAGTCTCATTATGACCAATGTTACAGTCACAGTATGACCAATGTTACAGTCTCAGTATGACCAATGTTACAGTCACAGTATGACCAATGTTACAGTCTCAGTATGACCAATGTTACAGTCACAGTATGACCAATGTTACAGTCTCAGTATGACCAATGTTACAGTCACAGTATGACCAATGTTACAGTCACAGTATGACCAATGTTACAGTCACAGTATGACCAATGTTACAGTCACAGTATGACCAATGTTACAGTCACAGTATGACCAATGTTACAGTCTCAGTATGACCAATGTTACAGTCACAGTATGACCAATGTTACAGTCTCAGTATGACCAATGTTACAGTCACAGTATGACCAATGTTACAGTCTCAGTATGACCAATGTTACAGTCACAGTATGACCAATGTTACAGTCACAGTATGACCAATGTTACAGTCACAGTATGACCAATGTTACAGTCACAGTATGACCAATGTTACAGTCACAGTATGACCAATGTTACAGTCACAGTCTGACCAATGTTACAGTCACAGTATGACCAATGTTACAGTCACAGTATGACCAATGTTACAGTCACAGTCTGACCAATGTTACAGTCTCAGTATGACCAATGTTACAGTCTCAGTATGACCAATGTTACAGTCTCAGTATGACCAATGTTACAGTCACAGTCTGACCAATGTTACAGTCTCAGTATGACCAATGTTGCAGTCTCAGTATGACCAATGTTACAGTCACAGTCTGACCAATGTTACTTGCAAGTTTATCCAGAATCTTGTACAGCAACAATTAGTGGACAAATTATTATGATGTTAATTTTTGGCTAAATTAGATGTGATAGCAAGGTTGGATTGATAGAGCATGTGACTCCTAACTCAAAAGTCTCTTATCCTTAGAAAGTCACTGAGTCCCCCCAGCTTTGATGGGTACCTGACTCAAGGTAGGGAGGGAAAGTAAAGGTGGTTGGATGGGAACGGGGCATTACCCCCTCCCCGTCAATTACCCTCCGCACAGTAGGACATTACCCCCCATGGACATAGCTTAAGGTACAGCTAGGGTTAGGGTTAAAGTTAGGGCTATGGCTAGATTTAGGGTTAGGATTAGGGTTAGTGTTATGATCTGGTTTATGCTTAGTGTCAGGACTTGGATTAGGGTTAGTGTTATGGTGAAGGTTAGGCATAAACCAATGTCTAGAGTTGGCTTTTGTTTTTTGTTTTAAGTTTTAGGCTGAGGTGAATTCTTAGGTTTTGTCCTTTTTCTTAAGGTTAGAATTAAGGAAATATATAGTATAGAGTTTGAGTTAGGATTCTAACTTGAGGGGGGGGGGAGGGGGGGATGTCCAGTAGCTGGTTGGACATAGTGTTTAACACAATATCCCGTCATATGCCCCATGGACCATTCAGCTTAAAAGGTACTTTATTAAACTTACTTATATGTAAGGAATACTAGTTTACCTAAGTTAAAGTCATAACAACTTTATAGAATTAAAAATAATCATCAAATGTGGTACACAATAATATAAATGATCAGTGGTTGAATGTTAAGTGAGTAAAATCACACAGAGCAGTGTAGTTAAAAACTATTGGATTTGTCATTTCTGGTTATGATATCAAGTAAATATAAAAGGGCATGCTTTGTATAACCTATAACAAATTAAAAATTTTAACAACACAACAGTCATTGCAAGCCAAGCGATGTAGCACTAGTAAACATAAAATGGCTTGCATTGTATAACCTATTACAAATAAAATTTTCTAACAACACAACAGTCATCCGCATTGTATAAGCTATTACAAATAAAATTTTCTAACAACACAACAGTCATTGCAAGCCCTGCGATGTAGCACCACATAACCAGGTTATTGACCCTCTCAACAAAATTAAACTTGAAGATTACCTGCACAACATCCAGACACCCAGGATTGTTCATCCAGTTTTTAAAGTAAGATGCTTAATAAGATTTGTGCGTTAAATTATGAAAGAAAGAAAAAAACCAAGGCTGGGGATTCCCACTTTAAAAAGAAAACATTGTGCATGGTACTTTTGTGAGGGTGTGGTTTGCACTTTTTGACTGATGGTTCATAGAAATTTTGAAAATAAACTAATTCATTTCATTCAACAAGTTATCATTAGGGTAGTTTATCTGTACTGCTGTTTATGTGAATATTAAGCGATGTTGGTACATCACAAAAAAAAAAGATTAATTTACTGTCAAAAATAAAAACCTTACAATGACATATATCGTTATCAATTATATTTTTTTGGAAATGTAAGTGCTTATTAAAATGTAACTGATAACAATATTTGTGATTATAAGGTTTTTAATTTTTACAGCAAATTGATCATATTTTTTTTTGTGATCTCAAAAATAAATGTGTAAAAAAATTGAATAAAACAAGTAGAAAATAGTAACAAGTAACATTTCAATCAATTCCTCAGAAAATGCAATGAAATCAAAATGAGAGCCATAACCTTCCCTAGAGACCAAACATAAAAAAGTTTTTAAAAAATCAAAATCTCAATGACAAAATCAATTTCAATATTTAGGCTCCTACAGTAAAATCCAAATTTTAACTTTAGAATTTCTAATAAGCCTACATATTATAATAAAAAAAAGTATTATTTTTTAGCATAAAATTAAAATTACCTTCGTCCAAGTTTGAAACCTTGTCCAAAAATGTTACAACTAGAATCTATGCAACTATGAATTGAAGTTGTATACTTTTGTTTTAGATTCAGTCTCAGATATAAAGTCTTAAAGCTTCTCCAAACATTCATACATACACTTTACAACTAAACGTGTATGTGCAACTGTGAACTTTTGAAGAAATTATTGCTGCTCACATATTATTGATCAATTTGTGACTTGAAAATAATGGTGTTCTGTGTCCACTCTTTGGAAAAATAGAGCTGGATCTAGATCTTTTGTCGTGAGCCTAACTAAGGTGTCTTTGTACTATTTAGAAAAAGCTTATAATGTTAAAATGATCCATCATCTATCTAATATCCTTCCATCCATGTCAAAAAGAATTGTTTAGTTCAGAATAACAAGTTAAAACCACCAGCATGACTGTTAACTCACAGAAGTCTAAACTAAAGCTTTCTCTAGCGCTGCTTGAAATAAAAGATAATTTCTAAGATACAAATATGTCACCAGTTGAGGCAAGCAGCCTCAGATAACTTGGATATCGCAAGCAAAAAAGTCTGTTAAAAAATTGTGACAAATTACACAAAAAAGTAATTAAAAGTTAAAATTGAAGTTGGTAGGGCCTATATTTTTATCTATAGAGCCTATAGCCTATCTAATAGAACCTAAAACTTATTTTCAATTAACAAATTACAAGACGTACACCTTTTTCAATAAGCCTATATAATCTATATTATAATAATAAGAGACACTTTAGTTTTCAAAACTGTGATGATACAAAATAATAACTGTAGCCTAATTAATTTATATTCTCAAGACACATAATATAATGAAAGACAAATATATAGGCCTATGGCCTAGATGCTTTTTTTTATTAAAAAAATCGTAATCAGGCCAATATCCTATAATTATCTAATAAAATGTCCCAAGGGGCCTAACAAGTTTCAAAGTAAATATTGCGATCTGTTAGTAAAATTAAAAGTACGCCCAGTGTTTCTTCCAGGCATCTAGCACCACCCCCCCCCCCCACCTCTCCAACACATTCTCTTCCTCCGCCCCATCCCCTTAGCCAAAAAATATAAGCCTACAAGACAGAAAATGTATAGGCCTACTTTTAACAATGCGCACCAAACAAGGGAAACATGTCTGAAAGAAACCGTGTCTATTGTAAAAGTAAAAGCATTTGTTTTAGTTTTGTAGGATCTAAGTTCAAGAAGAAAAAAGTTTTTGCAAGGTCTGGTGATTAAGTATGAAACTATTACTGAATTAGAGATCTAGAATCTATATTTAAGCTAATAAAATGACCTAGCCTAACAAAATTAATTTATTATTTTTGGTTGGAATTAATCATAAATGGAATCTAGATTACAGATAGATCTAGATCTATCTACTATCTGGTGTTACACAAGTTAAATTCAATAGATCTTGACTCAACTGGACACTAGAAATCAAAACCCTCAAGAATTCTGTTTAGATCTATATCTATATATCTACGAGATCTAGATCCTAGATCTAATCTAGACTTAAGACTAGATTCTAGGAATTTTTTTTTTACAAATGTCTGTTTCAACTTTATTGAACAATCATAATGCAATAAAATTACTGCTCTCTGAAAGTGGGGCCTACATATTTACATAATAATATTACATAACAACCAACAGCCTACAGCAATTAATAAGGTAGATCAATATAACAAACTGAATTAAAGAAATTAACAACACATGGTGGAATTGTAAAAGCACGCAATTGAAATGCTTGCTTCCAAGCGGACTGTCTCGTTTTCTTTGGATCTACGCTACACTCAGCTGTTGTCTCGGTCTCGGGGCGAGGCCTTGGCCTGCATAAAATACTGAAGCGCGCAGCACTGCTTCTTAGCAGACAGATTTTTTTTAAAGTTATAAATTTTAGAGACACAACTGAGCGTCTAGATCTAGATCTATTTATAATCGCGAACGATCATGCCGAAGGTGTTTAAACTCAGCAAACTTATACGTAAATCTAGATTCTAGATTTCGATTTCTAGGCCACACATAATGAATAAGTCCGAGCAAAGGATTGGGTTGAGCGAGACCCGAATCGCCCAAATAAAAATAAAATTAGAAGAAAAAAAAACTTGTCTGGAGATCTAGGTCATTTAGTTATTTTGGATTACACTTTGATTACGCAACACATACATTTGTAATGAAACGAAAAGTGTTGCAAAATTCATGCAGTTAATAAAAATGTACTTACATGTGAATAAATTTAGGCTACGCAAAAGATTTTATATTTTCTCTCCTACTAGGTAAATGTGGGGCAACTGGGTAGAAAATGGCAGCCATTTTAGTTATGTTATGTCACAATTACTACCTCCGTGCGATGGGGAGCTCTCATTGCTGAAGGAGCCATCGCCTCACTTTTGCACAGCGGGCTCTTTTTTCCCCGCTCCAAGGTCGCCTGTGGTATTAAGGAATAAACGAACGCTATTTTCTTGAAATTAAAACATTATTTTTTAGATTCTAGATCAAGATCAACATTGTTTTTCAAATTCCAGAGATTTTTAAAAATATTTTTTTAAAGTTTTTAAAGCCAAACCCTACAATAAATGCCCTCTTGAATAGGCTTATTATTAAGTATGGAAAGCATTTTGTCATTCCTTTATGATTTAAAAAAAAAACAAACAAACAAATTCACACACAAAAAAAAACACTACATTATGAAGCCTTAGGAAATATTCGATTTGTGTTCGGAGCAGCCCGCAGACAGTGAAATTGGGTATGCAAAACTTGACCTGTTGCTATCGGCATGGGCGGGATTTAGAGGCAGCATAAGCTCAACGCTCTCTCCAATATTTGTGACTCTTTTTGTAGGCCTGAACCAAGTTTTCAATTTTCATCGTATGTTTAAAACAAAAGGGCACTTGAGCGTCTTAGTTATTTTTTGTAGGCAATTTAAAAAAAGATATTACTGAACTAGCTGCAAAGTCTGTCTTTTGGGGCGGACACTGTTAAAAGTGTATGTTTTCTACAGTGTTTCTTCCAGACTTTTTTCTCCGGGGGGGGGGGGGGGGCACTTGAAATTTTCGGGGGGGGGGGGGTGGGGGGGCGGTAAACTTTCTTCGGGGGGGGGGGGGAGGGGGTGAACACTGTTAAAAGTATATATTTTCTATATAAATTATACAAATTTCATTTCGTTCGGGGGGGGGGGGGCGGTAAATTTTTTTCGTGGGGGCTAAGCCCCCCCCCCCCCCCCCCCGAAGAGATGCCTGGAAGAAACTCTGGTTTTCTATATAAATTCCATTTCGTTCGGAAGGGGCGGGGGAGGTGATGGTGCGGTAGACTTCCTTGGGGGGGGGGGGGAGGGGGGGAAAGGGGGAGCTCCGTTCCCCCTTCCCCCGAAGAGATGCGCCAGGATGAAACACTAGTCGAGATTGTTACTTCTTGCCCCTGTAGACGCCAAGTAAAAAAAAAAAACATTTTTTACAGCAAATAAAGCTTTGTGCATTTGGATTAGGAAGCACCATATTTTAAGTTACCGCACAGTGTGACACCCAATTTATTACTGAATTGGATAAAATATAATTTATCGATATATCAGACCAATAATCAACATAAAGCCAGCAGATTATTGCCATCAGTGAATATACATAATTTTAATTTAAATTTTCATATAAATAAAAGATAAAAGTCAATAAAAAAAACATGATATTCTCTAGCTGCACAATGTAATTTCTAAACCCACAAAATGTGTCAACTTGCCCCACAACAATTTTTGACGGATTCTTTTTCATAATATTTTTTATTTATTCATCATCATCTTTTCTTTTTTTGTGCCCAAGACACAGAGGGCCACCACAAAAAAAGCTCCCTCTACTTGTGTCGGTCACCGGCAATTTTCCTGGCAGTCCCCCATGACAGTCCTGCCTCTGTCAGCTGCTACCTGGCAGTCCCCCATAACAGTCCTGCCTCTGTCAGCTGCTACCTGGCAGTCCCCCATAACAGTCCTGCCTCTGTCAGCTGCTACCTGGCAGTCCCCCATAACAGTCCTGCCTCTGTCAGCTGCTACCTGTCAGTCCCCCATGACAGTTCTGCCTCTGCCAGCTGCTTCCCCGCCGTGCGCCTCCACGTCTCCCTTGGCCTTCCCTGTTTTCTTGTTCGTACTTATTAAAAAGTGACAAAAGAAAAAAAAAATGTTGCTGGTGTGTGGCCAATTGGTCGGGATATAGGCCTACACATGACAAAAGTAGAAAAAAAATAATATTTTTCATGAAAAATGCCTTTTCTCACACAAATAGCCATACCCTGGCCTTTTTAGTCTATACTCCAGAAAAGACCCATAGTAATATAATTTGATAACATTTTAACGAGTGGGGGGGGGGGGGGGTCATGCTCAACCCAACAATGTTTGTAGAACTACACGTTTTGCAACAACTTAGGTTATACAGAGACTTATAGCTGTATAGAAAAAACTCATCAGTGCTAAAAATAGTATCTTTACATCCAAGGTGCTTTTGGCTTCACCATTGATACTATTTATACCCAAGTGCGGGTAATTAGTATCGTTTTGTAATATTTTGTCTTAAATACTGTGCTCTTAATTACTATTATTTTCTTGTATTCGAAGTATAGAGGATCTATAGTAATCGTGCAAAAAAATCGAAACCGAGATTTTCACAAATATTGACGTTTTACACCTCCCTGAGCCGGAAAAAAAACTTAGTTTTGCAAGTTTGTATGTATGTCTGTGTATGTGTGCTTATGAACACGACAACTTAGGTGGACGAAATTTCACATATAAGTACAATATTGTATGTGCATGCTTCTTTCAAAATTGGAACGACTTTTCAGAAATCGAATGTGGTAATTTACTCTAAAAATAATAATTTACTCTATTTAAATATAAACACCATAACTTGAGCACTGTTTCACTTAGGTAGACGAAATCTCAGACATAAGTATAAGATCTATTTTAATTTCTCTCAATTTTTGAGTGACCTCCAATAACCGGAAGTGGTAATTTACTCTATTTCTGGTTTCTAAACTAGCGATATCTTGAGTACAGTTTCACTTTCAATTAGGGGGACGAAATTCTAATAGTAGGTATGAGAAATTATTTTCTTGATTCGATCAAATTTTGAGTGATTCGGTGAACGGAAGTATTATTGTACGCTATTTCCGATTTCTGAAAAAAGATCTTTTCTACTGGACACATTTCTTCAAAACTTTTCACGTAGACTCGGTGAGAATTCATTGTGACATACAAAATTTAGCTGAATTTGATGTTTAAGTAACTTTTCAAAATAAACCGGAAGTGATCTCCCCTAAACTTTCTCGAATAATCTAATATGACACTACGGGGGATGGCAACTCGGGATATAGACTTCTAGACATGATTTTTAATCTATTTTAAATACTCAAACTTTTTAAAATAGAATTTAATCTCGTAGAAAAAAGAATTGCACACCAAGTGAACGCTAAATAAAGATGTGCATAATAGTGCGCAATATTATTAGTACTTTATAAATTTACATGCGTTTTTTGAGAAATCGGAAATAGCGTAAATAAGTACTTCCGGTCAACGGAAATTACTCAAAATTTGAAAGAAGGTAGATAATTTGATCTTTTACTTACATATCAAATTTCATTTATCTATCTGAAATAGTACTCAAGTTATAGGCTTTTGAAAAATTCAAAGTAGAAAAAGTACCACTTCCGGTTATCGGAAATCGCTCAAAAGTTGATACGGATCTACGATTTTGATTAAATACTTATATATGAAATTTCATCAACCTAGCTGTAACGGTACTCAAGTTATCGTGTTTACACACGGACACACAGACAGACAGACACACACAGACACACAGACATACGGACAAGATTGCAAAATTATGTTTTTCCGTATCAGTGAGGTGTAAAACGTCGAGATTCGCAAAAATCTCGATTTTTTTTTTTGCACGATTACAAGACTTTCTCTATACTTCGTATATACGAGAAAGTAAGAATTAATCAATGTTTCCTTGATCAAGCACTAATTTTCCACTCAATTATTTACATTAATTTGGTGCGCATTTATTTTTTAATATTCTTATTTAACACCACGAGGGATGGCAACTCGGGATATAGACATGATTTCTAATCCGTTTTTAATTACTTAAACTTTGTAAAATAGAATAGAATCTCGCAGAAAAAAAAAGAGTCGCGCACCAAGTAAACGGCAAATAATATGTGTATAATAGTTCGGAATATTATTAGTACTTTATAAATTCATATTATGCGTTTTTTGAGAAATCGGAAATAGCGGAAATATTATACTTATATATGAAATTTCATCAACCCAGCGTTAACGGTACTCAAGTTATCGTGTTGACAGACAGACACACACACACACCACACACATACACGCACACACACACATACGGATAAAATTGCAAAGCCCAGTTTTTCCTACTCAGGGACGTGTAAAACGTCACGATTACAAAACTTCTATACTTCGTAAACGAGAAAGTAATAAACCGGTAGTGATCTCCCCTAAACTTTCTCGAATATTCTTATATAAAACAACAGGGGATGGTAACTGGGGATATAGTTATGATTTTTAATCCATTTTAAATACTTAAACTTTTTAAAATAGAATAGAATCTCATAGAAAAAAGTATTGCGCACCAACCGGACGCCGAATAAAGATGTTCATAATGGTGCGCAATATTATTAGTACTTTTAAAATTTACATTAGTTTTTTGAGAAATCGGAAGTAGCGTAAATTACTACTTCCAGTCAACGGAAATTACTCAAAATTTAACAGAAGGTAGAGAATTAGATCTTTTACTTACATGTGAAATTTCATTTATCTATCTAAAATAGTACTCAAGTTATAGGCTTTTAAAAAATTCAAAGTAGGAAAAGTACCACTTCCGGTTATCGGAAATCGCTCAAAAGTTGATACGGATCTACGATTTTGATAAAATACTTATATATGAAATTTCATCAACCTAGCTGTAACGGTACTCAAGTTATCGTGTTTACACACGGACAGACACACACACAGACAGACACACACACACACAGACATACGTACAAGATTGCAAAATTATGTTTTTCCGTATCAGTGAGGTGTAAAACGTCGAGATTTGTAAAAATCTCGATTTTTTTTTTTTGCACGATTACAATACTTTCTCTATACTACGTATATACGAGAAAGTAAAAATTAATAAAAGACATTTCTATTGCGCGATTGCACCAAAACGTTATATAAGAGAAAGTCTAGGGGAGATCACTCCTGCTTTATTTGTTCTAGTTTACAATGAAGATTGTTTCAACGCACACATAAACTG